GTATGTTTTCAAAAACAAGTTCTAGGAAAGCAAGCCTGGTGGCTAGAGCTCATCTCAAATGGGAGTGGCCCAAAGTCATTTGAGGAGGCCTGCGTTCTGAACTTCCTCAGCTCTGTCACTACTATGAAGGCAAACTGCTGAGACATTACTTACCTCTTCAGTGAGACAGTCCTAGGCTTATTTTACTCTTGAGTGGTAAAGGAGGAAGGAACATGACAGTACAGGTGGATTTTGTGATTGTGTATATTCGGCTTTGGATTTGCTAAAAGCCACACAGACCACTTTAGCAATGAGGAGGGAGCACTACTTCATACAAGTAACATGTATGCAAAAGTTTAAAGAAATAATTGCATCTTTCCCTTGCAAAATTAGCATTTTAGTTGTTAATTAACAGCATGTCAAGACAAAAAGGAAATAGCATATATGATTTGGATAATTTTGGCATGTAATGAGCTTAAGCTTTTTTTCTACTGATGTTATATCCAGAATGTCACCCCTGTTGCACTGTCATAACCTCACAAAAAGAATTGATAAGACACATACATCTTGGTTTGTCTTTCTTCCTGAAAAAAGAAGATATTCTAACTGGAAAAAAAGTAAAGCAAGTACATTTTTAATGTATTGCTTGTTAGTTTTACACATTTCTGCTCACTTCTTAATGTGATAAAACTGAAACACCAAACTATAAAATAAATGTTCCACATTGTGACACAAACTATGTTTTTACTGTGACTAGAAATCAATGTTGGCATTATAAAAATTGCACATGTAGGTCACACACATAAGGGTAATGTGTTCCATTAGCAGCTGGTGTGTTCATTTCAAATTGCTTATTTAGACAGGTCTGTTCGGAGATGACAATTTGAGCAAATATAGCTTTTGCTAGAAAATCCATGCAAGAACAAATGACAAAGTAACTGATACATTTTTAGTTCCTATTATTATTATGCCCCCCTCCTTTAACCAATAAACCATTGAAATGCAATGTAATTGTAGTTAAAAGGGAAAGGGGACATTAAAATTAGTTTCACAGTTATTTAGTGAAAGCCTTTTTCCCTGCCCTTCAGCCACAAAAGCACCCAGACTTGTCATCTAAAAAGAGACATTGGATGCTGGAGAGAAAAGCGAGGTGGGGGTGGGCAGCTCAAGTAGTCTTACAGCAAGGCTGGGCACGGTCCCAGTCTCTCTCCACAGACATCCACTTCTGTTGTAGCCTGCAGAAATGGCTGTCTGTGGTGACATTCAAGACAATAGTGCACAAAACAATATTAACAGTTGTAATCAGTGAAACAAATTAGTCATAAATACTGTAGGTGAATTTTCACTTATTTCAATAAGTCAGTTCAAAGCAGGCTTAATTGCCGATTCAGCAGTTATCATCTGCATGTTTTATAGTCTGTTGTGTTTGAGGTGCAGTCTGCTGATGGAAGACAATAAGAAATGGACAGTGGTAATCACAGTAGCATTTTGAGTTTCATGACGTATCCTGTGTCTTTATTCAGGACAGGGATGTTGGTAAGTCTTTGGGTCTGAGTCCCAAGTTTGCCTCCGACTCTTTGGCACCAATACCTGAGTCCCAAGCCTCAAGTCCGAGTCCCTATTAAAAACAAGCATTTTCCCCCAGAAAATAGGGAGGGAGCAGGTGGGTTTCAAGTTATAAGACAAGTCTGAGTAATGGGGGGTGGGGGAGACACCGAGTCAAGTCTGAATTGAATTGCCAATGCAACTTAAGTCCAACTTGACAACAAGTCTTGTGACTCGAGTCCCTATTCCTGATTCAAGATTATAAGTGACTAACTACACTTTGCCTGTGGATTTTATTTTTTATTTTATGCATTTGTTTGGTTCTTGTTTTTAACAAAATACAAACTTCCCCATGCTCTAAGACTTATGTGTAATAAAATCTTGCAGATATACTGTGTCTTTCTCTCTGTTTCCCCTCCCCACATTCTGTTTTCTGTATAAGCCTTGTAGAAATCCATACTGTGTTACATTGTTGTTGGTGAAACTTCTGCTGTTGAGTTGGCTGAGTTTATGAACACTGGAATTATTAGAGTCCGAAACATGGCAGGAGACAGTAGGGTGTGGCCAGAAAACAGTTTTTAGGGGCAAAGCTCATGCAGTCCCAGAGCGGTGGTTTACATACCTCTGGCAAAGTGGCTGAAGGAAAGGTGATACACTGAGAAACAGGGACCAGAGTATCTGTAAGATGTATGGCAGTAGAACATGGCCCTAGACTCTAGGGGAGTGTAGCAGGGAGGGGCTGCTGAATGTCAGGGTTCTGAAGAATGTTCATAGTGCTTGAACAACAGAAAGACAATCCAATTCGATTTATGAATGTGGGATATTGCTCTTCTGTACAGAAGTTTCATAATTATATATTTTTTTGTTTGGGGCATCCCTATTATTTGAATTTGCTTACAGAATGCTGAATCTTGCTGTAGGCATCCTTTAGGCTCGAGAGACTATGGTAACGTGCTCTGAATAGAGGTCTTGGAACAGTGTCTAGTGTGGCTGAGAAGGCCAATTTGAGAGTGACAATCCCTTCCACACTGAAGGCAAATCCAATCTGCCCCCTGTCCAGCTCCCTGATTTTGCTGGTTTCGAGACTGCCTCTTTGCCTCAGCCTGCTGAACAAGTGTCTCTTCAAAATGGGAGAGACCATGCTGCACCCCTTGCCTCCAGGCTGAACACTCAGATGTCATATTGTCCCATCTGCTGAGGTCCAGTCCTAAGGCCTTCAGATTCTGCTTGCAGATATCCTTGTATCACAGCTGTGGTCTTGCTCTGGGGTGCTTTCCCTGCACTAATTCTCCATATAGGGGATCTTTTAGAATCCGACCGTCAGCCATTCTCACGACATGCCCGAGCCAACATAGTCATCGCTGTTTCAGGAATGTAATACATGCTAAAAATTCCAGCTCATTCTAGGACTACTTTATCTGGAACTTTGCCCTGCCAGGTGATACCAAAAATGTGCCACAGGCAATGCATATGGAACATGTTCAGCTTCCTCTCCTGCCATACACAAAGGGTCCAGGACTCACTGCAGTATAGGAGTACACTCGGACACAGGCTCTATAGACCTGGATCTTGGTATATGGTGTCAACTTCTTATTGAGCCACACTCGCTTTGTGATTCTTGAGAACTTGGTAGCTGCTTTGCCAATGCGTTTATCCATCTCAACATCTAGGGAGAGAGTGTTAGAGGTCTTTGAGCCAAGGTACACAAAATCATGAACAACCTCCAATTCTTGTGTAGAGATGGTAATAGAGGGAGGTGAGTCCACGTCCTGGTCCATGACTTGTGTTTTCTTCATGCTGATTGTTAATTCAAAGTCTTGTCAGGCCTTACTAAAACAGTTCATAAGTTGTTGGAGCTCTTCAGCAGAATGGGCATGAATCTTGCTACAAACAATATATCATAGTTTAATGCGTAATGTTTCTACTCTACTGCCTATCTTCTTAGGCAATCTAATGCTCCAAGATTTGGACCAGTGTCAATTCAGCTTTTATTTAAGACTCAGGACCCACACGAACTAGAACAGACCAGGTAGCTGTGAAAGACTTTTGCCAGGCCTTGGTGTTAGGACTTACTAGATACCATTCTGGTTTTAGATACTTTCCCCCTTATTCTAGGATAGAGACAGGAGAATAGAAATGTAAAAGGGGCCCAAATGAGGAAGCGAGGCAGAAAGCAAAGAGCCTGAGAGAAGTAGGTTTTATTGTTCTAAGCTTGAAGCAGGAAGCAGAGGAATGGGCGAGGCAGAAAGCAAAGAGCCTGAGAGAATGTAGAGTTAAAGATAGGAGAAAGCAGGACTGGGACAAAACCTCACAGGCGGCCTAGATAAAAAAGGAAGTTTGTAGCATTGACCAAAAGAAATAGACAAATATTGGGTGGGAGGGAGCAAAGGAGGTATTGTTGCCAGATACAGAGTTGCAAGGTACTGTATTCCTATCATTGTAATTAAAATCTGAAGAAAGTAAATTCCACTAGTTCAGACAGGTAATCTAATCAAGGATGTTGTCAGGAAGACTGTAGTGGCTTTATACAATAATAACTTTCTTTCTCAAGTGCTCAGTGTTAGGATCTGCTTCTCTGACAGGAAGTCGAGCAGTGTCTTTGTTGGGAGAACTCTGATTTGTTGTTCAGGAGAGTCCCTTCTTCTGCATCCACAGGCAGAGCCAATAGTAGCTCCTCCAAGAAGAACAGGGCCACTTCCCTGTGTTATGACAGAGAATAAGCTCCAGCACTGTCTTCTGATTATTAACCCCACCCATTCTCTTTCCCTCTCCATTCCCCCACTGAATACAGAATAATTAGGGCATGAGGCCTCATAGTGTCAAGTGGAGAAAGGAAACCTCAAAGCAAACTGTTTTGACCGAAGCATCTTATAGTGTGCTACTTCAGCAGAAGAAAGTAGGTTTTATTGTTCTAAGCTTGAAGCGGGAAGGAGAGGAATGGAATTGCTATCTGCCTCTAGTTCAGGATTGGACAAATCTATCAATTTCACTTTCTCTTCCAGGTTTTTTTCTAAAAACCTCAAGTTTTTTCCCATCCTAGATATAGAATTTTCATATTTTATCTTAACTCTTTAAATTTTTTTTAATGAAATGCATTTTTCATATTTCTGTACCTAGTGGTTTGAATAGGTGGAGCTGTTCCTTCACATGGAGAGGATCACACTGTACCTGTTTGCCATAAAGCTGTTAAAGATAAGGAGTTTCTCAGAAAAAAGTCATAGCAACATCTAGTTCGATACTAACGTGTTAGGGAATCAGAATTCTAAGAGTTAAACCTTTAAGAGCTTTAACATTCAAACCCTTGGGTATGTATGGATGAACCTGTTCTTTCTATTCTAAATGCAGAGAAATGTGTGAATTTTGTAAATTTATTTGGCAAAAATAGATTGAAATGAAATTCTCTCCCAGTCCGGTCTGCAAATATTTAGTAATACTGAGCTAATCAAGGTATCTTTTTTTCTTTTCTTTTTTTAAAGGTCCAATATACGGCCACATTATGCAGAAACAAATACACATGACTTCAAAATGCATACCTTCACCCGTGTAACATCCTGCAAAGTCTGTCAGATGCTTCTGAGGTAAGTGTCAATGGAGGAAGAATTATATTAATTGTACCAAATTGGTAAGAAGTATGCATTATTTAAATCTGTTTTTTTTAAGTATCTATCTTAGTATGTTGTTTTAAAACTGGCAGGACCTGAAATCCAAACTTAATTAAAACAACTAATGGTTTATAACATAGTAAATGTGATTGTGATATCTGAACTACGTGTCTGATCATTTTCCCACTCTGCAGTTACTAATAATAATTGCATGCCATCACCTCTACCCCAGCTTACAGCAGCTTGTGTATAAGGCAATGAGCTGTGGTAACGATGTACAGGTAGGAGGTAGGATGGTGTTTAATGCTTCCCTCAACTGCTTTTTCCCATTTGCCCAGAAGGGATGCTTGTAGTCCCAGTCAGGAGAAAGTGGCTGGGATAAGAGATTGTGCTGGAATAGAGTTAAATTACACCCGCCACTACCCCATTTCTCCTTCAGCTCTGTGTTGAACATGCTTGGTAAACACTTCATTTCTGTACTTACCACCAAGTGTATATCTGTGAAGATTCTCAGTCATCCAGGTGAGGTTATCTGAAAGTTAAGTCATGGCAACTGGACTTCTTTCTTTTTAGGTTGAAACATTTCAGTACTCATCCAAATAGCTTCTTCAGTCTGAGGAGAATTGGTAGGAGACCCCGATATATCCTCCACGTTGGTTTCACTTCCCCCTGGTCTGAATAGGCTCATTAAAAGGACAAAGGACTTGGGGTGAGGGATAATCCCACTTCTGCAGTCCTTCTCCACGCATTGATATGGGTCATTAGCAGTGTTTTTTCTGGTATGTGGTCCACCATGAAAGTGGGTGGAGAAGGACTGCAGAAGTGGGATTTTCATTCACCCCCAGTCCTTTGTCCATCTAACGAGCCTATTCAGAGCAAGGCTGAAGTGAAACCAATGTTGAGGATATATCAGGGTATGTGTGTGTCTCCTACCAACTCTCCTCAGGCTGAAGAAGCTACCTGGATGAGTAGTGAAACATTTCAACCTAATGAGAAAGAAGTCCAGTTGCCATGACTCAGCTTCCAGACCCCAAGTGTACAGTTCTGCACCAATAGAAATCTGTCTGACTTGTGGCTTGTGAGACAAATGGGACAGATGGAACAGCTTTCCTAGTGGTTGGAGCCCCAGTCAATTTTCAATCAACGTGTCATATGCAGTTTAACTGAAAAAGTTGATGCTCATTAACTGGAACTTTCACTGAACATTTCTAACAGTTTGGGATATGCCTGTTTTTTGCTCTATAAGATGCACCTGACCATAAGACGCACCTGATTTTTAGAGGAGGAAAACAGGAAAAAAATCTGCCCAGGAGCATGGGGGGGGGAAAAGGGATCAAAGCAGTCCCCTGGCTCCAGATCAATTCCCCCTCATGCTGCTGCTGGGGATAGATAGAGAGATAGGCAAAGCCCAATCCAAGCCTTCACCAAGGAGATGGCTTTAGTCCGGCTTTGCCTCTTTCCATCCCCAGTGGCAGCATAGGAGGAGGACCCCCGCGGTGCCTTCTGAGGCCTCCTGGGGGTCCCCCACCTCCACAAAGGCAAAAAGGCAGAGATAAAAGACGGGAAATTCGAATTTCCCATCCATTTCCCCTGCCTTTTTGCCTTCGGAGATCTGCAAGGGCTCCCTTCAATGTTGGGGGAAAGCCATCAGAGACCTCCTGGAGGTCCCCCCAATGATCCGACCCCCAGGAGGTCTCCAAGGGCTTTCCCCCAACATCGGAGGGAACCCTTGCAGACCTCCGAAGGCAAAAAGGCAGAGGAAAAAGACAGGAGATTCAAATTTCCCATCCTTTCTCCCTGCCTTTTTGCATTCACGGTGGCGGGGGACCCCCAGGAGGTCTCCAAGGGCTTTCCCCCAATATCAGAGGGAGCCTTTGCAGAAGTGCATTCGCTCTATAAGACACACACACTCCCCCCCTTTTTTGGGAGAAAAGGTGTGTCTTATGGAGCGAAAAATATGGTAGTTGTTCATAATTACATTCTAGGTACATTTCCTGAGTGCTTACCAGAAACCCATAGAAATTATGCAAGCTGGGATAGTGAAATACAGAAGCACCTGTACGTTTTCTTGCAGCAGTTGTGATGACTGAAAAGCCAAATAATTGCTGAGTGTGGCCTATATCTCTGGTTCTGGAAGTAGTAAATAAGACACTAGTGGTATACACAAAACTCCTCTGCATTGTCATGTCACTTTTTTTTGATAAGAAGTTTGTTTCTCTCTTTCTTCCAGTTTCGGAAGCTTTCGTGTTATGTTACTGAAGTTAATATTCTGACAACTTGCTTATTGGGTTTGCGCCACAATCTTTATTTGTAGCCAGGTTTCTCCCCAAGTGGTCCAAGACAAATTCTTCTCTTGTGGACCGTGCAATGGCGGGAGCACAGGGAATATTATGTGAAGGAGAGGTGATTGGAAGGTTAAAATGTCCATGAAAAGATTTATGTTAGTTAAAGGCAATGGAAACGGAAAACCAGTGAACCTAGTTTCTTGAACAGTTTGAACCAACATGTGGCTATTACTGAGTGTGATATTCTTCACAGAATAAGAAGTGGAACCACAGTTGGATACCCCCACAAAACCGAGAAGGCTTTATTGTTAATGAGCCGTAAAGTTATTTTTTCTCAGACAAGCCATTTCTTCTTTCTTCATCCCCTCTGAAAGATTTATTGCACTTTTAAAAATGTATTTATATTGTAATGTGTTCTCAGTTACTGATGGTAATTCAGAAATTGTGATGATCCAGTGCCTTTCTGTGAAAGCAAAATAATGATGAATTTATATTCTACTGTCTGCCATGAGAGAAAGCATAATCTGAGGGAAGCCTTCACTCAAATCTTGTGTTGCTGGAGCAGTATACGTATTGCTTCCTGCTTGTATTTCTTTTAAAGCTGTAATTGCTGTTTTCCAGATTGTCCTTTGGGGAAAAGATTAGTTAACACTAGCTCAAGAGGAGAAACTAGGAGGAAAATGCCAGTTATAACTTCATTTTAAACATTAGCACTGAGTAGCCCATATTTCCAGTTCAGGACAGCTTTGGCAGGACTTGAGAAATGAATAGCACAGGTCCCTCTTCTCCTGCACAGTTTCTTTTAGGCATCTCAAGCACAACATCAGCACCACTTCATGGTGGTCATGAGTAATCAAACAGAGAGCATCAAGGAGGGGAATCAGAGCAAGATGGCTATATTGACTAATAATAAGCCTGGCCCAGACGACATTACATTTCCAGTTCTGAACAACTGCAGAGCAAATAGCACCACAAGGAAGTCCTCTCCAGATGGCTGCGAGGATGAAATGGGTCTATAGGAACAAATGTGGTCTCTTGGATATCCAGATGACAGAGGTGTGTGTGTGTGTGTGTGTGTGTGTGT